CGGCATTGCTGGCTGGGGGAGACAGCTGGGGCTCTGCTCACCCCGGGGTCCCTTGTCCTGCACTGCTGTATCTTGATGCTAACCTGCGGCTTTCTCTGCAGTTCACAGCCAAGCAGCTGGAGAAGCTCGCCAAAAAAGCCGAGAAAGACTCCAAGGCCGAGCAAGCCAAAGTCAAAAAGGTGGGTGGGAGCTCATCCTGCATGCGGAACTGCCCGGCCAGCACTGCCAGCCGTCGGCACTGTGCCACGTGGCTGGAGATCCTGCCGTGTTCCATGAAGGGACTGGGGAAAGGGGCAGGTTCCCCCACCGGGCCTCACTGCATGCGCCAGCTCGGCTTCCAAGTGTTTTGAGTCCTGCCCTCAGCTCTCGAACCTGCTGGGTGATGTGGTGCGTCCCTGCGACACTGAGAGGGATGTAATTCCCATTCAACAGTGCGCTCAGTGTTTTGAGGGTGATGGGAGAGCTGCTTCCTGCTGGAAACCTGTCAGGCTGAAACAGAGCGCGCTTGTGTATAAAGCTGCAGCGAATTCTCTGTGCCAGTGGTTGCTCTTTGCCCTTCCAGGCCCTTCAGCAGAAGAATGTGGAGTGTGCCCGTGTCTACGCAGAGAATGCCATCCGCAAGAAGAACGAGGGGCTTAACTGGCTCCGCATGTCTTCCCGGGTGGATGCAGTGGCCTCCAAGGTCCAGACAGCAGTGACAATGAAGGGGGTAAGAGCCTCTGTGGGGGCCTGGGGCTCTGAGACCAGTCTGTTCCCTGCAGAGGGCAAACGTTGGCTCTTCCCATCTTGCTGCCCCTAGCCACCTTGGACTTCCCCATCCCCAAAAAAGATCCCGCCAAGCTTTGTAGTTGGCTCAGACCCCCTCGCTCTGGTGCAGGCCATGAAGAGCCTGCCTGGGGCGGCCTCGCAACAGGGCTGATTCGTGAGGGGCTCGAGTTCAGTCCTTAACCCGTGGCTGCACGGGCCAGAGAGAGGCTCATGCCTGGAGTCTCTTGCCTCACAGGGTGTTTGAGGGTGGTGGGCTGGGACCCATCCTGCCAGGAGCGCTGCTCTTCAGGGTCTGGAACCTGCAGAGAGCCAGCTGCAGCCTCTGGTGAGCAGGCAGAGCCTGTCCTGCCTTGTAGCACTGGTGTGAGCATCAGAAATGCTGGCTTCTCGCTTGCTGGCCTGGGTTTTACTCTCAGCAGCGACGTACCTTGCATTTGGGCAGCATCTGTGAGGCAGTCTCCTCTTGCAGGTGACGAAAAACATGGCCCAGGTGACCAAGGCCTTGGACAAGGCTCTGAGCTCCATGGACCTGCAGAAGGTGTCTGCGGTGATGGATAAATTCGAGCAGCAGGTTCAGAATTTGGATGTTCATACGTCGGTAAGTGCCAGTGGCCTCTGAGGGGTCCGGGAGGGTGGGCTTGTCTCTGAAGTGTAACGTGCTGGCTCCCAGCTGGAACTCGGGCTTCTGCAGCAGCACTCTGTTCCCTGCAGGAACTCTGGCCTCAGGCGTGGGAAACCCCCGAGCTGTTCACACAGTTCTGTTCTCTGCGTTTGAGGGATGTGAGAGATGTTGGGGAAGACACGTCTCCGCTGCCTGACGGGGAAGGACTTTGCTGTGCAAAGAGGCGAACGCAGCAGACGGGGAGAAGGAGGAGGGTGGTAGCTAGCCGTTATCTCAGAGGGGGTCTGTGGCAGAACAGGACCTTGCGCCCCTCCGCTGTAGCCCTGCTGTCAGGTTTGAGGCTGTTCTGGCTGAGATGTGGGATCTGCAGCTGTTTCTTTGGGGGAGGAAGCCAGGCTGGGCCGAGTGGCTTTGCCTGTGGGGCAGGGTGACAGGCTGTCTCTGTCGCAGGTCATGGAGGACTCCATGAGCTCCGCTACCACGCTGACCACGCCGCAGGAGCAGGTGGACAGCCTCATTGTCCAGATTGCGGAGGAGAATGGCCTGGAGATCATGGACCAGCTCAACCAGCTCCCCGAGGGGGCTTCGGCAGTGGGGGAGAGCTCAGTCCGCACCCAGGAAGACCAGCTGTCGCGGAGGTTTGTTCTCTCTTGGGTCCTGTGCCTTGTGTCGAGGCAGTTAGAGTCCTTCCCAGGGTTCTTGCACCAATATGAAGGGAATAAGTTAGAGGGTACTGAGCTCTCTCTCATGCTTGGGCAAGCTGGAGCCCAGTGGTCCCTGTGGTACCCTGCGCAGGCAGGCGAGGTAGCCGTTTAGGGCTGTGGGACCACTGTGGGCCTGGGGGAGTGGGTGGCTTCTGGCACTCGGCAGCGAGCTCTCATTGAAGAGGTGCAGAACAGTCTACCCCTGCTCTGTCCTCGCCCTCACGCAGCTGCTGCTGCTCTGGGAACGCTTGGCGCCGACCTTCAAACAGCTCCGGGAACAGGCTGTCTCCCTGGAACTGCCCCAGGAGATGCTGATGAGCTTCCTCTCCCCACGCAGCTGCCGCTGGGGTCTGCCCGGGGATAGCCCCCGGGCTGCGGTGCGCTGCCCTGGGAGCTGGGGACGACCCTGGGCGAGGGACCCAGAAGAGAAGCCAGGAAGCCCTTCTGCGCAGTGCCTTGCCTGCGTTGATGACAGAAGCTCCGAGCTAGCCCCAGGCAGCCATGGCTGCGTGCTCCTGGGCAGGATTTCTTGTATCTCTGCCTCAGGAGAGAGATTTCTGGGCAGAGACGTTCCCTGCACGCGCAGGCTGAAGGGTCCTCCTGAGTCGCAGCTGTCTCTGCTGCTCTCACCTTGGTTCCCTCTTGTGCTCTTCCTTACAGGTTGGCCGCCTTGCGGAACTAAGGTCTCCTGTCTCCCCTGTGGACTGCTGCCCTGCACTGGTGGTACGGCGTGTGGGGTGGAGGGGCCCGGGACTCCTTCCCCACCTCTGCTACATCCTTGCTCTGACCCACTGGCCAGACGGAGTCGGCCGTTCCCTCCTGCAGCAGCACGTCCCCAGCCCTGCCTGCATTTAGACTCTTCTGTTGGGGTGTGGTGGTGATGACTTTTCCCAGAGCAGGCAGCGATCCTGGCAGCGGGTTTCTGAGCGGAGACGGCCTCTCTCTGGGCTTGAGGAACGCTTTGCTGGTTCTGATTTCAGGGTGTTTTTCATTTAAGGGTTACTGCTGGTTTCTGGCAGCGTCCCACAATGCAACGTCCTGCTCCTGATCTAACGCTAAAGGAATCGTTCTGGAGGCGGGTTGCGGTGTCTCCTGGGATGCTGCTCGCCTGACTCTCCTCCGTGTGTAGCACATTTCTGTTGTTACCTGTTTTACACCGGCTCTCCGAGCTGCGGGCTGTGTTTTCCTCAGGGGCCGCAGCAAAGAGCTGTTTACAAGGAGCAGGGAGATCCCCAAGGGGCTGCCTTCCTCTTGCTGCAGTTTGGGAAGGGTTGTTTTCCCGGCTGCAGTGTTTCTGGGAAGGCTAGTGCCTTGCAGGAAGGGGAGGTTACGCCGTGGCATCTCTTCCCTTGGCAGTGACCTTGCCAAGCCCCGGCTGCCCAGCTTGTAGCCGTAGGTGGGTGTCCTGTTTGCAGACTTCACCTTGCCAATCGCTCCTTGTCCTGCCGGGGCAGACCTCCCTGGAGCTCTGTACCACAAAGTGACCTTTGAAACGCTCATCCTGCCCTGCCAAGCCCCTGTGTGCGTGTGTGTAAATCCTTGCGTTCCTCCTCTCCAGCCACTGTGGTCTGGAAGTGGTTATCCAGGCCCTGACTTCCCACATGGACCAGTCCCTGCCTCATGTCCAGCAGCTGGGAGTGGAGCACAGCAGCTTCCACCACCGGGCTCGCAGCTGTGGTGGCCACAGCCTCGTCCCCAAATGTCCCCCAGCTTGATGGGTGTGACAGTAAATGCTAATCCATCCTGAGAGCCTGTCTGCCTGCGCTGGCTGTGGCTTGTCACCTGGATCTCTGCTGCCCTTTCCTCTTTGCTCTCCCACCTTGCTGCTTCTGCTCCGTGCTGCTGCCTGCGGAGCGTCTAACCGTGCTGGATGAGCGGGGACGGCTTCCAGCGCACTGTTGCTCGGAGCCTTCCCCTGGGGCCAAAGGTTTCTGTGCCCCTTCTGCTCTGCGACTCCCGGGCTCCACCGAAGTGCTGGATAGATGGGAAGCTTGCCGGGAAGGAAATGAAGTTTCCTTTGGCTCTCACGAAGAGGAACTTTAACCTTCTCGCTGTAGATGAGGGCTGTGCAGCTGCCAGGTCTGGCAGCGCTGTGCCAGCGGCACCGGGCTGTGCTGTGCGCAGGCAGGGACCGGCAGCTGGTCCCGCTGCAGTGGGGCAGCTCCCATTCATAATTTTTTAAAGGGAATTTGAAGGCGTGCGTAGCTGCTGCTTTGGGCTGTGCTGAGAGGAGGGAAGGGGAGGCAGCTCCGTCCCTGACCGGGTGCTGGCTGACCTCCTGGGCTGCCTGCGCGGACGTGGGGCAGGACTCGCTGCGGGCCGGGGGCCATCTCCAGCACTTGCAACACAAACACTTTTAACTGTTTTTGATTATTTCTTCTGAGTTCAGTGGCCTTGGCAGCATGTGTCTAGTGACCCACAGAGCCTTCTTCCCCGACGCCTGCTGTGGTGGGGGTGTGGGGTGCTGACCGAGGAGGAGGAGGAGGTGGATTTGGGTTACAAAGCCAGTTGCTTATGGTGGAGCATTGGATCTTGTGCCCCCTCTGATGGGCCGGGCAGAAAGCAGGACTTGTGCCTGCACGAGTTCAGTGGCCTTGGCAGCATGTGTCTAGTGACCCACAGAGCCTTCTTCCCCGACGCCTGCTGTGGTGGGGGTGTGGGGTGCTGACCGAGGAGGAGGAGGAGGTGGATTTGGGTTACAAAGCCAGTTGCTTATGGTGGAGCATTGGATCTTGTGCCCCCTCTGATGGGCCGGGCAGAAAGCAGGACTTGTGCCTGCACTGCGGAGCA